GCAGGTGCTGAGCCCCAGGTGCTGACCCCCGGGGGCTGACCCCGCAGGTGCTGACCCCCAGGGGCTGACCCCCAGGGGCTGACCCTACAGGTGCTGACCCCACAGGGGCTGACCCCCAGGTGCTGACCCTGCAGGTGCTGACCCCCAGGTGCTGACCCCTAGGTGCTGACCCCCGGGGGCTGACCCCCAGGTGCTGACCCCCGGGTGCTGACCCTCAGGGGCTGACCCCTAGGTGCTGACCCCCAGGTACTGACCCCACAGGTGCTGACCCCGCAGGTGCTGACCCCCAGGGGCTGACCCCGCAGGTGCTGACCCACCAGGGGCTGACCCCCAGGGGCTGACCCTACAGGTGCTGACCCCCCAGGGCCGAACCCCCAGGTGCTGACCCCCGGGTGCTGACCCCTAGGTGCTGACCCCCGGGGGACTGACCCCGCAGGTGCTGTCCCCAGGGGCTGACCCAGCAGGTGCTGACCCTGCAAATGCTGACCCCACAGGTGCTGACCCCTGGGGGCTGACCCTGCAGGTGCTGACCCCCAGGGGCTGATCCCGCAGGTGCTGACCCCCAGGTGTTGACCCCCAGGGGCTGACCCCCGGGGGCTGACCCCTCAGGTGCTGACCCAGCAGGTGCTGACCCCCGGGGGCTGACCCCGCAGGTGCTGACCCCCGGGGGCTGACCCTGCAGGTGCTGACCTCCAGGGGCTGACCCCACAGGTGCTGACCCCCGGGGGCTGACCCCGCAGCTGCTGACCCCGAGGGCCTCCCGCAGGTGCTAACCGCCGGGGGCTGACCTCGCAGGTGCTGACCCAGCAGATGCTGACCCCCGGGGCCTGATCCTGCAGGTGTTCATCCTGCAGGTGCCTCCTGCCCCCCACCCATCCAGGCATTCCCATTTGGGGCGGTTGTGGCCGTTTGGACATAACTTATGGGTCTAAACAACTGGGAGCTCTGGGTGGTTCCAGCTGCATCCTCAGCTCCACATGGCTCCCTTTCTTGAGGTGGTAACTTGTTGGAGAGCACTTGTGTTTCGTCACATTTGTGGGACTGGGGGGGTCTGGGTGTGATGGCACCGGGGAGCCCTTTGCTGGCTCCAGGCGTGGCCCGGGGGGGTCTGGTCTGTTTGGAGGCCACCCGGGGACTTCTGTGGTGCACAGGGGAACAGACCTGAAATGCAGCTCAGGTTTGAATTAGAGCATTGTTGGAGTCAAACAAAATGACTTTTCTAATTAGGTCAGTTATGCACATCTGTGAAGAGCTCACCGGGGAGATGATTTGGACTCTAGCCCCAGTTTCTGGGCGGGTGTCCACACTCGACTCCTGGCGCCTGTGGGCTGGGGAGCGCGTGTGAGCGCGGCTCTGTGAGCCGGGTCGCAGGGAGGAAGGGGCCCGCGGGCTCGGCCCTGCTCCAGGCTTCCCGAGCGGCGGACCCTCCCGCTCCTCGGGTTCCTGCTCTCGTGGGGCAGCTTCCCGGGGGTCCTGGGCGAAGGACGCAAGCTTCCCTGTCTGGAGGCAGGGGCAGCAGGACGGCGTCCCTGCTGAGGACGGCTCCCGACCTGGATGGCACCAGTGGCGCCCCTGAGCGTTCTGTAACTCGTGTGCATCCTGTGCTCGCAGGACAACTGCCCACTGCTGCCTAATTCTGGGCAGGAAGACTTCGACAAGGACGGCACCGGGGACGCCTGTGACGAAGATGATGACAATGATGGTGTGGACGATGAGAAGGTGGGGCCCACGGGGCCACTCTGGCCTCCGGGGCGGGCGGCCGGGGGGGACAGCCCCGCCTGGGCCCCATACACGTCTGTGGCCAACATTCCCCCCATGCGACGCCGCATGGCAGGGCGCGGGCTGTGGGCGACACGCGGTGACCAGCGGTGCGTCGGGCTGTGGGCACTCTGCTGGGACGTCTGCAGTAGCCCCGCGTCTTGCTCTGCTCACAGGGCCGGCCCGCTCCTGTGGGGGCTGGGGAGGAGCGCGGCTGGCCCACCAGGCAGCATGCGCTTGCCTTTAACGCAACGCGTACTCGCTAGCGCTCTCTGAGGAAGGTGTTGCTGGACGTGCGTGACGTCCCGTGCAGCCCAGCGGGACAGGCCACCGGTTCCTGATCACGGCCCCGCCCCCACCCGACCCCCGCGCCCCCGGCCGGGTCCTCACGTGCCAGCGCACTTGCGCTGCGACGTACCTGCTCTCACCACGAAGCACACGGCATGCCGTCCTTGTCACAGGGAGGCAGATGCGCTGGGCTGGCTGACGGGCTCCGTCTGGACGGCGCGACTTGCAGCCCAGCGCAGCTCCCACGCGCGTCCCGACTCCTTCCCTTGCGTTTCCGTAGGACAACTGTCAGCTTCTCTTCAACCCCCGCCAATTCGACTACGACAAGGATGAGGTCGGGGACCGCTGTGACAACTGCCCGTATGTGCACAACCCTGCGCAGATCGACACGGACAACAATGGCGAGGGGGACGCGTGCTCCGTGGACATCGACGGGGACGGTCAGTCCTGCTCCTGGCCGTAGACGCGGGTTCGCGACCGGGCGTGGCATCGTCCTCCCGTGGGCGTGGTGTGAGCTGGCCGCACGTGCGGTGGGCGCGAGATTAAACGGTGCTTAGCTGTTCCCGCGGGAGCCCAACCTCACCCGACCCGTCCTTCCTGGGGCCCGTGGGGGGTCTCCCGCCTCAGGACCTCCTTCATAGAGCTGCAGACGTGGCATCTTCCTTTTCGTGACCCAGGGCCCTAGTCCCGCGCCCTGTGTCCTTCGCGCTTACCCCTGTCAGAGCCCCAAGAGTGCAGTCCCATCTCCTCACCAGATCGCGCCTCTGAGACATGTCTGACGGCAGCGCCTGCCTCCCTGTCCGAGGATATTCCCCCCATGCCCTTACTTCTAACAACTCATGAGTCGGCCGTGGCAAAGCTGCCCACAGGGTCCCCCAGGTCACGTTCCGCCCGAGAGGCTGGTGCCCTGGAAGGGGGCTCTAGTTTAAGCTCAGGGGATTTGAACTTTAATGGGGAGTCTGACATATGTTCTTCCACGAATCCGATAATATTTACACTTCACCATAATCTTAGGTCCTTTTGTGTGAAATAAAAGTTTGGCTGGAAGTTGCTTAGTGCAGTAGGAAAAGCCCTGTGCCTTTTCCGTTTTTCCCTGGAATACCCATAGATGTCTTCAATGAGCGGGACAACTGTCCCTACGTCTACAACACTGACCAGAGAGACACGGACGGGGACGGTGTGGGCGATCACTGTGACAACTGCCCCCTGGTGCACAACCCCGACCAGGTAACCGACCACGTGCCCGATTGGCTGTGTCCACGGGCAGAAGGGGGCCCGGGGACCTTATCAGCCGTAGATAGATGTGTCTTCGTGGCTTATCCGTTAGCTCTGCCAACGAGTGACAGCAGAGGCTTTTCAGTAATTTTAATTGAAAACATCCTGAACTCAGCGCTTCACTCTCGTATCTCGGTGGCCGAGGGCCAAATGCGTGGGTGCCTTCGCCGCCCTTCCTGAAGGGACTGTGCCTCCTTCCACTTATCTTCCCGTTTCCCTGAAGCAGACATGGGAATGGGCTTCTCCAGGTTTGCCTTCGGAAGACACCGAACGAAACGCATCGCGGTCGTGCCTGGGATATCCCGTCGCAGACGATGTCAGAAAGGCACTTGGTTCTGTGGCGTTCATTCTTTCTGGTCTTCTTTTCGTGACGTGAGCCTGTGGAGAGCAGTCGTGGAGGGTGGAGCGTCCCGAAGCCGCCCCTTGACGCCGACAGCCCTCCCCGGGGCTCAGCCGCTCACATGCACGAGGTGGCCCAGGCCCGCGCCCTGGGTGAGCACTCAGCATGGGTCCTGCTCTGTCCCCCAGACCGACGTGGACAATGACCTCGTGGGAGACCAGTGTGACAACAACGAGGACATCGATGAGGATGGCCACCAGAACAACCAGGACAACTGCCCCTACATATCCAACGCCAACCAGGCCGACCACGACCACGACGGCCAGGGCGACGCCTGTGACTCGGACGATGACAATGATGGGGTCCCCGATGACAGGGACAACTGCCGGCTGGTGTCCAACCCGGGCCAGGAGGACTCGGATGGTAGGTGCCACGCGGGGAGCCCATGGCCCAAGTCTGGGGGGCAGGGGCCACAGCTACTGGCCGTCTCTGCAGAGAGGCGCCCATTACAGACGGGATGAGGTGGGGACCCGGCGTCATGACAGTGAGGGTTGGGACTTAGTCTTTTGAGGGCAAAGCAAGCAAAAAATGGTGGGTGTGAACTGTCAGGAAAAGGGACTGGTTTTCCAGGCAGCTGACCCCACCCAGGGGGCCGCCACAGGATTGGGGCCCCAGGGAGGGTCTCCAGTAGATAATGAGGAGCAGGCCGTGCTCGGGGCTTCTGGGGGAGCGTGAGAAACTGGCGGCAGGTGCGTGTGGCCCTGCTCGGCCTCCAGGGGCGGAGACAGGGTGTGGGCGTCTGAGCCGACGTGACTCACATGCGCACAGGCACTCGGGATCAGAGGGTGACTCCAGGGTCCCCCCCGAGCCACGCGGATGTCTTCAGCGGGACACAGGAAGCCTGTCTGGACCCATGGTGCTCTGCTCAGGCTGCCCTGTGGGACGTGTGGGGGGGAGGGGCCGGCTCGCCCAGAGCGCGCAGGGCTTTCCTGTGTCCTCATGCATGCGGGCGTGTGCGCCTGCGTCCCCCTTGGTGGACGCATGTTACTGGTTCCCAGAATGTGACAGGAAATTAGCTGAACTTGGTACCTTTTTCTCCTTCTGAAGCAGTCGGCTCCCAAACGAGCTAGTGTAGGAAGCCTCCATCGGCCTGGGGGTGGTCATGCTTACTGCACACGGGCCGCTGTGGGGGCCGCAGTCCCCCGCATGCAGCCGGCGGTCTGGGCCTGCCGCGCACCCCCACCCCTTCTACCACCTCACTGACAAGTTGATAGAAGCTTCCAGAAAAAAGAACCTCCCCAGGGAAAGTCATTTATAGAGTAAGAACTCTGCTTTAAATCCGAACATCTGGGGCAGGGTGATGAAGAAAGGTCGTGATAGAAGTTCCGAAAACTGTCAGAAAGCAAAGCTGCAAGTTCAGCTTGGCATTCTAGCTGACAGCCCCCAGGCCCCACGGCCCAGTGTCGAGCGAGGACCCTCGGGGCATCCCAGCGAGCGGTGAGGACGCTCCAGAAAGGCAGATGCCAAACCATCTACTGTTTCCTCGTTCTCCTGCTTGTCCTGGCGGCAGGGGACGGGCGTGGGGACGCTTGCAAGGACGACTTTGACAATGACCGCATCCCAGACATCGATGACGTGTGTCCCGAAAACAGTGCCATCAGCGAAACTGACTTCAGGAACTTCCAGATGGTCCACCTGGATCCCAAGGGCACCACTCAGATCGACCCCAACTGGGTCATTCGCCATCAAGGCAAGGAGCTGGTGCAGACGGCCAACTCGGACCCTGGCATCGCTGTTGGTGAGCCTTGGAGACCCGCGCCGTCCTCGGTTCCTGGGGACAAGGTGCCCAGGGAGCACGCGGGAGGCTCGTGGGGCGGATTAGGGGGGTCTCTCGGGAGTCCCTGTCCCTCCACATCTGCCTAAACGGTCTCGACGAGGGACTGGGGAGTCATCCATATGGAATTGCATGTCCGGTACGCCATTTATTTTATGGATTTGGTCCATGAAATGTTCCATGATACAGTAAAGCTCAGCTAACACTGTATGTGGGGTCTGAACATATCAAATCCCACACTTGTCAGTCACGTCTGGGTCTCAGACCCCGAGGTGAACCGTAATATCGGCACCCACTGACCCCGGGCTAATCCCGGCCTTTCCCTGAAGGCCGTTTCCGACTGAATCCTACCACTGAATGTTTCTCTGGCACCCAGGTTTTGATGAATTTGGGTCTGTCGACTTCAGCGGCACGTTTTACGTGAACACCGACCGCGACGATGACTACGCCGGCTTCGTGTTCGGCTACCAGTCCAGCAGCCGCTTCTACGTGGTGATGTGGAAGCAGGTCACGCAGACCTACTGGGAGGACCAGCCCACCCGGGCCTACGGCTACTCTGGCGTGTCCCTCAAGGTGGTGAACTCCACCACGGGGACCGGCGAGCACCTGAGGAACGCCCTGTGGCATACTGGGAACACCGAGGGTCAGGTGAGGACGCCCAGGCAGCCGGGCGCCGGGCCCTTGGACTTGGTCCTGCAGCCACCATGGCTTCTCAAGAGAGCAGGCTACGCTCCAACCAAAGATGCCCCCTCCGTGTTGTCATCAATTTTAACTCAAGTTACGCTGGTTTTAACCCTCTTTTACGGAGAATCTACCTGACTAAAGATGCCAGGCCTGGTGCTTTTATAAACGCAATTGATGATTCTCTCGTAAGTTAAGCACATCTCTAGAGATAGGGAGGACTGGGTTTTAAGGTTAGGTGTTTTGCTGAAGGCCCCGTGTTGGGGAGGCAGAGGATGGAGACTCTGAATCCATGGCTCTTAGCTCGGGACCACACTGCCCCCTGTCAGTGGATTCGAGCCACACGAGAGATTTAGGCCTTGAAACCCATCCGTCAGGCTCAGGGCTGCCAGAGCTGCAGGGATGGATTGCAAAGTAACGTCTTTGTTTCCCATTCGGCGCTGCGAGGCGTGGTCAGCACTCAGGCGCCAACTGGACTCAAGACTGATGTGTTTCCGCAGGTGCGTACATTATGGCACGACCCCAAAAACATCGGCTGGAAAGACTACACTGCTTATAGGTGGCATCTGACCCACAGACCCAAGACGGGCTACATAAGGTGAGAGTGGCTCAGCGCCGGCTCCTTCCCCCAAGTGACTTCCCGCTGCAGGAGTGTCTTTCCATTGGGAGGCAAGTCTGAACATTAAAGACATATCAGCCAGTGGGAACTCTAACTCATATGCTGTCCTCCGGTCTCTTCCACTTCACGCTTTCTATCCTGCATCTTCTACTGCACATCACTTATTAAAAAAATCTACGGAAGAGGAGAAAATCAAACTTGTCTTATTCATGTAACTCGGAGGATGATGAGCATCTTTCCTCCTAATGAATGTTCTGGGCAAGGGACAGAAAGTATACATTATTTTTTAAAAGATTTTATTTATTTATCTGTTAGAGAGAGACAGTGAGAGAGGGAACACAGCAGGGGGAGTGGGAGAGGGAGAAGCAGGCTTCCCGTGGAGCAGGGAGCCCGATGTGGGACTCGATCCCAGGACCCTGGGACCATGACCTGAGCCGAAGGCAGATGCTTAACCAACTGAGCCACACAGACGTCCCCAGAAAGTGCAAACTAACTGCATCTTTGCAAAATTAACATGTTCTTCATTCAGAGAACAGATTCATAGTTATTTCTGGTATGTGAATGGCTGAATTTAAAACACATCTTCAAATAAAACTTTCACAGATATCAAGCTAACAGTATTTTGCTCTTTTGGCATGGCAGCTTTTGTAATTGATTTTGATGAAAACAAATGTGAATGATTTAAAAAAAATTTTTTTTTTTTTTCAAAGTTAAGCTTGGCTAGAAAGGGCAGGGCTGGGTTGGATTCTTCACGGAGGCCAGGACTGTGTGTCTGCAGCGTGAACGAGCGGACCAGGGCAGGGAAAGCACAGACGCGCTGTCTGGGCGTGGACTTTCCTCGCCCACGTGCCGCCCTCCTGTCGGGGGGGCGGGGGCTTAGCTCATGCAGTCCTGCTTTGGGCACTAGGGTTGAGCCCGTCCTTGTCACCATGCAGTCCCAGCCTAGTGGGCCGGTGCAGGTGAGTGCGTGGCTTCGACGCCATGTGCAGGCCACGGGGAGGGTGGCCCGGGTGGTGGGGACCTGGTGCCCAGGCAGAGGGGCTTGGAAATGATCCTCCCTCCGCCGGGCGGCTGTCTGGCTCTCGGAGCTCGGGACTGAGAGCTCTCCGACTGTGGCTGAGGGGCCAGTTACGGCGAGTGGGGGGTCGTGGACCCGTGACCTGTTGCTGCTGTCTGGCTACATGAAGAGAGAGCTGACCTCCCACCCCCCGGCATTCACGCCCTCTTTCTTTCTCCTGCGCCCTGTTTTCAGAGTCTTAGTGCATGAAGGAAAGCAGGTCATGGCGGACTCAGGACCAGTCTACGACCAAACCTACGCTGGCGGGCGGCTGGGTCTGTTTGTCTTCTCTCAAGAAATGGTCTATTTCTCTGACCTCAAATATGAATGCAGAGGTGGGTGAGAACACCATTGTGTGGGCGGCACAGAGAATGGGGAAGGGACATGCATTTTAACTTTCCTTTTATAAACACAGCACATTAGGGCAATAAGCAACTGTTTTGTTTGGTCAGCTTTTTTGTTTGTTTGTTTGTTTCATTATCTGTTTGTTTTAAATTGAATGTGAATTCCTTTGGTAGAACAAACACTTTCCAATTATTCACAGGCTCTGCCTATTCACATTGTGCTCTATCCTTTAGCTGTGTACATTTTGTATACCTTCTGGACCTTTAATGGCATTTTAGATTGTTACCTTTGCTAAAAAAAGGGAAAGAAGGAGGGGAGGAAGGGAGGAAGGAAGGAAGGATGGAAGGAAGGAATGGAGGAAGGAAGGGAGGAAGGAAGGAAGGAAGGAATGGAGGAAGGAAGGGAAGAAGGAAGGAAGGAATGGAGGATGGAAGGGAGGAAGGAATGGAGGATGGAAGGGAGGAAGGAAGGAAGGAAGAAGGAGGAGGGAGGGGAGGGAGGAAAGAAGCAAGCAGGAAGGGGGATCTCTGCAGTTATCTCTCGAGGAATGTATTTGAATCACAATATTGCAGACCTGGAAGGCTGCTCCCATCTGGTCTGACCCCATACCTTCATAAGTGCATGAAAATATCCCCTCCTACTCATGAGGTCAGTGAGGCTCCGAGGTACCTCTCAACAATCACACACTGAAAATTACACATAAAGCGAGAAAGGGAACATGAGAACGTTGCTTCTGGTGATGTGTTTTTTTTTTCCGTCGGTTGGGTTGTCTTTCAAGACATGACACGTTCCCTTCCTTCTTTCCATGCATGCATCCAACCATTCATACATCCGTCCATATTGTGGATTTTTAAAAACTTAAGATGACGTTTTAGGTTACAGGTAGAACAAAATAAAAGAAAACAAAACCCACGGTCCAGCCGTCCTAATTCCGCTCATTGTTTTTTCTTTTTGTAGATGTCTAAGCAAGACTTGCTGTACTTCCAGACATGTACTGTAGATGCTGTTACCTAGACCCCACCATGTGCTGGTGCTTCCAGCTTCTCTGTCTTTAGCAGCAGCTCCTGTCCTTGATCTTGACATTGAGGGTCGTTCACCATCATCGACCCCGAGCCCAAGCGCCTTCAGAGGATCAGTGTCAGTGGACATCCAGCCCACTACAAGAAGGCAGCTTGATGACGCGCGAGACTTTCTGTGCAGTGACAATTGAGCATGGCATTACATCGTTTTTTTCTTGTTTGTTTAAAAAGAATGACGTTTACATAAAATGTAATTACTTATTGTATTTATGTGTATATGGAGTTGAAGGGAATATTGTGCGCAAGCCATTATCATAAATTAAGCAGGAAAAATATTGCTCCGCGACTTTCAGTGCTTGAAGCCATTTCCGTTCCTGGGTTAGAGCTGCTCTGCGGTAGCCGGTGGTCCCGTTCGGTCGACCCCAGAGACGGGGCCGCTGGAGTACGAAGTGCCGTGGGGGCAGAGAGGGCAGGAGACCGGTCACACGCGTGGGGAGCCAGCCCTCTAATCGGCACATTAGCAATAATGACGAGAACAAACGGAAGCCCCTCCCCCCACGCCCCTGCCCCCCGCGGAAGCCCGCGTACTTGGCAGAGGTGCAGCTGTGACTGAGAGGGGCCCGCCTGCAAAGCGGCGCTAGCGTGGGTCCCGATGTGGGCCCAGCAAAGCCTCCTGTAGGGCGGCTGACCACTCCCACCCCACAGGCTGGAGGGAAGGCCGCCGCTGTCCCCTGATTTTGCCTTCTCATCGCCGGCTTCCTGCTCGAGCTGCCTTGCCGATCTCTGCTACCGGAGAGCGGACCAGCGGACGGACACACCCGCAAACGCGCCTAACATCTGCTGCTTATTCTAGGCTTTGAAACGATGCCAAAGTGGCTTTTACCTAATCTGGCAGCACTTTCCACCAAGGCTCCAGTTAAAACTGTTTTGCTAATATTTATTAAATGACTAGATGCAGCTTCATTCACCAGTAACTTATTTTAAAAATGTCAAGTTACACATGTCGCACAATTACTCGGAATAAACATATAATGCATATATGATAATATAAAGATACAGTTACAACAAAATACCTTCCTGTCAAGATACAAGCTTTACAGCAATATGTTGTCATGATAAAGCATGCTGAAAATGGAGGGGAATAGGTCAGTGAGAGTGAAGAGTTCGTAATGGAACCTTAACGGATACTGTTGTCCGCAGCTGTAAGTCAGTCTTCTTTCCCATTGCCTGTCTGCTGTACGTAGGATTTAAGACTTGGAATGCTGAAGGAAAATCAGCATAAGCCTTGCCAGACACACCCATTAATCAGTCAGACAACAATAGACACAAGTTTGTGTGTGTTTGTTTCCTGCCTTAAATTGCATGATCTTCCTACAGGAAATATTAATCTCACTCCGCGTAAGGGGTTTAAGAAGAGAAGTTTGTCTTGTCGGAGGCGGGCAAATCTTTCTCCCCTTTCTGTCGATGGCGATCTTATGTCTATGTAAAGTACAGAGGATCCATAACTTTTGTCTTAACTTGCACATTTCATTCGATAAAGTTATGTTTGTTGCTTCCTTCGAGGGTGATTTTTTGTTTTGCTGCACTTTTCTGTAGAACCGCGTCCCCAGGACAGCAGGGTGTGGGAGACCGGACTAAATGTAACGGTTGGGGAGACTGCGGAGGTTTCTGTGTTGGCGTCCCTTAGCCAAGCAGCACAGTTCTGTGGGATGATGATGTGAATATTTAGAATGTACCATAGTTTTTTTGGTAAATTATTTATGTTTTTTTGAAAAAACTTCTCTTCCAGATTGATGAAACTTCATTTGTTCTGCCAAAGACTGTAAATATTTATTTATTTGTTCACATGGTCAACATTTCACCACTGAAACCCTGCATTTAGCTAGAGCCTCATTTTTATACTTTAAGGATTAATAACAGGAAATAAATTGTACAAAGGTTTTCTATAAATGAATCTCTCTCCCTTTTTTAAAAAGAAGTAGCAGAGTTTCTCTTGGGGGGAAGGGAGACAAACCCCAACAGGGGAGCATTAAGCTCGTTTGGTTGCAGGTCGTCCCGCTGCCTTTCTGAGGTGAAGGTGTAGGTTTGGGGTCCTCGTGGAGAAAACAGCTCCGTTTAGGGCCGACCTCACGGGTTCCGTCGGCCGCCAGAGCCGAGCACGACGTGGTCATCAGGCGCCCCTTCCTCCTGCGGCTCCTCCAGCAAGCACGGGAGAAGAGGCGCACAGTGGGATTTGGCTAGCGTGACTGAGGTGATTCAGGGGCACGTTACCACACGGCAGACCCCCCACCGATGCAGCTGATTTTCTCTGAGCTGTCCCCGATCCAAACAGAGACAGAGGAGTGCACATCAAATCCGCACACACACACGCCGCCCCCGTAGCAGGAGGTGTGGGGTTTCCGAGCATTATGGTTGAGTCAAACAGCGGGGGAAAGACGGGGCAACATGCACGTTGGAGCAAGAAGGTGCAGGACAGGCCGTCTGGGGAGACGGGATGGGACGAAGCCCTGCTTTGATCTGGGGGGTGAAATGGCGACATAAGTGTGGAGGGAGAGACCGGGTCTCTGTACACCAAACAGGAAGCCTTTGAACAATTTAGAAAGAAATCAACAAGGGAAGTGATTTTGGTTGTAGGTGATGTTGGAGGGAGCTTAATGCACATTTTACTCGAGAAATAAAAGCGACACGTTTTGTACTGATGCTTAGGAGGCAGGCATGAGGCTGAGATGTTTCTCCACACGTTAATTTTTTTGTGATTTATGGTAGAAGTCTGTGACGGGCTGGGGGCTCCCTGCCCATGGTCCCTGGGGCCGGCCCCTCCAGGACTGACTGTGTCTGTGACTGACAGGAATGAGGCATTGCTGGAACGGGACACGTTACCCAGGCGCAGTGAGCACTAAGAGCTGGGCACACCGCGAGCCCATCCCCTGCCGCGGGCCGCCGGTTGATGAGGTAGTCGACATCCTGATTCCCAGGGATCCGGAATGGGCTCCATAATCACCAGGGGGAGTCGGTTCTGGGACAGAGTCCCGGCCCTGAACCATCACCGGCCGCTCCCACCGTAGGTTTAGCGGGGGTCCCTCCCCAGGATTCCTGTGGGTTTTGACATCTCAGGCAGGTTTTGCTCAGTTAGTCTGAGTTCCACAAAGTCGAGTTTTGGCCCTGGCAGCAGAATGGGACCGGGGCTTGCAGAGAAACCCACACCACCGCGGCCCTGGCCCAGTGGCCGACCGTGAAGCAGAAACCCAGTATCTGCCGAGCAGGTTCTGGGAAGGACGGGGAAACACCCTCCAACCGATTAGACTGGGCCACAGCCTGGAATCCCAGTCAGGGAGGGAAGAACCTGGACTTCCGGGGAAGGCCGAGCCTGGCCGAGCCTCTTCCCAGCGTAGGGACGCGCGGGGCGGGGAGGCAGTGAGGTCCGGGCTGGGGTCAGCCAGTGTCAGCACAGCGAGGGGAAGCCGGTGGGCACTCCTGCCGAGAAGTCTGGGCCCTGAGCTGCCAAGCCTCAGCCCCCAGCCCCCAGCTGACCCTCACTGTCCTTGCGCTACGTGGGCGGCCCGGCCCTGGGTGCTCAGGGCCCTGGTCGCTGCAGGCCGGCCTCACGGCCCAGCTTCCACTCACGTCTCCTGACACAAGACCACCTGAAAACTCTTACCACTTTTCAGACGTTGCTTTCTCCATAGAACGGCTGTTTCACCCCAAACACACCACATGCATTGTGAGAAGTGACATTTTGACACCCCAGTCCAGCAGACACTCTGGGCATACACCTCGGCGCCTGGAGCAGTTAGGTCAAGTGCCCGCGTGTGGGTGGACGCGGGACAGTCAGTGTTGGGACCAGCTGCCCAGGAGGAGTGAGGAGGAGGACGGCTCCCCCCAGCCCCAGCCGTGTCTGCCCGCCTGTCCCCACGGCCCCCGGGATACACTGGGACTCAGCCTTCCCTCTGCCCCGGCGAGTTTTCTCTCTGCTGTAACTTTATGTTAAAAGGACAGTCTGCCTGCAAGTTAACTGTGAGCATCCAAAGGGTTTTGAAAAAAAAAATTGAGTAAAAAGAAAAATTGTTCACATGATAAAGCTTGGTTACACTTTATTTTCTATGGTATTTATTTACCTTCAGATTGTTGTTTATTATTTATATAAATTAGTTTTGTTGTTCCGTGGATTTATTTTTCTATTTGTGAAAATTGCTTAGTTATTCTGGGTTGGGACAGAATGCATGTAATCTTTCCCACTTAAAAATGGAATTATTTTTCTTTTTAATATGGCTTCAGGAACAAATTACATGGCTAAACAAGACATACATTAAATGTGTTACTATATGTTTAATGCGGAATATTTAAAGCCATGTATTTAAGGTTGTACTTAATATTATGCAGACACTTCACACCACCTCATGAAGACACAGCCTCTCCGTCACGGATGATCTCCTCAGAAGTCGCTACCCTGCAGATAAGAATCACTGCATTCAGGAAGAGAGTTTTAGCTACTCTGGAAGGAGGAGGCAGGAGATTCACATCAGGAGGATTCCATCAGATTCTGGAGTTTCTTTCTGTGTTTGGGGAGACTCCCGCACAAGGGAACAAGGAAGCATGCTCCAGCGGCCTATCCTGGCACCTAGACAGCTGACCGAGTTTGGGCTGTGGCATGTCATTTGTTAAAGGATACGATACCTGCCATCCTGAAATCCATTGTTAGAATGCCACGATATCTCATTTAAAGGACTTCTTAGATAATTTCTTTTGTTTTAGATTCCCAGGAGCTTTGTTTTCTAGTGGTATATTTTTCAGAGATTAAAAAAGTGGGAGTACACCTTAAATTTTTATTCATTTGAGAGAGAGAGAGACAGAGCATGAGCGGGGGGGCGGGCGGCAGAGGGAGAAGCAGGCTCCCCACTGAGCAGGGAGCCCAATGGGGGACTCGATCCCAGGACCCCGGGATCATGACCTGAGCCAAAGGCAGTCGCTTAACGACTGAGCCATCCAGGCACTCCTGTGATATTTATTGTTTAATTAAAAGATCAGTTGCTGTGGAAAACAGTATGGCGGTTCTTTAAAAAGTTAAACACAGAGTTACCATGTACCCCACAAGTCCACTCCTAGACACATACCCCAACGACCTAGAAACAGAAACTCAGACAAATACTTATCCCCAGGGGACCCCTGCTCGGCAGGGAGCCTGCTTCTCCCTCTCCCAATGAGCCTCCCCCCTGCTCATGCTTTGTCTCTCTCTCTCTCAAAGAAATACATAAAATCTTTAAAAAAATACTTGTTTTCCCAGCACCATTTATTGAAGAGACTGTCTTTTTTCCATTGCATGTTTTTTCCTGCTTTGTCAAAGATTATTTAACCATAGAGTTGAGGGTCCATATCTGGGCTCTCTATTCTGTTCCATTGATCTATGTGTCTGTTTTTGTGCCAGTACCATGCTGTCTTGATGATCACAGCTTTGTAATACAGCTTGAAATCAGGCAACGTGATGCCCCAGCTTTGTTTTTCTTTTTCAACATCTCCTTGGCGATTCGGGGTCTTTTCTGATTCCATACAAATTTTAGGATTGTTTGTTCCAGCACTTTGAAAAAAGTCATTGGAATTTTGACGGGATGATGTTGATGTTCATAGCAGCAATGTCTGCAATAGCCAAATGTGGAAAGAGCCGAGATGCCCTTCAACAGAGGAATGGAGAAAGAAGATGTGGCCCATATATACAATGGAATATTACTCAGCCATCAGAAAGGATGAATACCCAACTTTTACATCGACATGGATGGGAATGGAGGAGATGATGCTAAGTGAAATAAGTCAAGCAGAGAGAGTCAATTATCATATGGTTTCACTTATTTGTGGAACATTAGGAATAGCATGGAGGACATCAGGGGAAGGAAGGGAAAGAAGAAAGGGGAGAAATTGAAGGGGGAAATGAACCATGAGAGGCTATGAACTCTGAGAAACAAACTGAGGGTTATTAGAGGGGGGTGGGGGATGGGTTAGCCTGGTGATGGGTATTAAAGAGGGCACGTTCTGCGTGGAGCACTGGGTATTATACGAAAACAATGAATCGTGGAACACTACATCAAAACTAATGATGTATTTGTATGGTGACTAACATAACATAATAAAATAAAAAAAAAACCTGTCCCCGAATGTTCTTAACACATTATCCACAACGTGAGAAGGTAGAAACGGTTTAAACTTCCTGCAGCAGATGAATAGGTAGACAAAATGAGGCTTATCCGCATAGTGGAGTATCATTCAGCCATAATAGGAGGAAACGCAGAAAGAAGCCAGCTACAGGTTACATATTGTATGATTCCATTTATCTGAAGTCTCCAGAGCAGCTAAGAAGAGACAGAGCAGACAGGTGGTCTCCGGGGGCCGCAGGATGATTGCTCAGTGGGCACAGAAGTTTCTTTTGGGGTGATCACATGATTTGGAACTAGACAGAAAGGATGGTTTTACCACGTCATGAATGCATGAAACCCCACCAGGTTGCACCCGTTAAAATAGCTAATTTTATGTTTCCATGAACTTCACCTTGATGAGAAAAAGGACCGTGAGGAACACAGGTCTGTGGTACCTGCTCTGTGAACGAGCTGCTCCAACTGATTTCAGGACGTTTGCTTTGTGAACATACAGGTTTCTGGTGAACAGGGACAGGTCAGCACGGGGCCGTGAGGACGCCCCCAACCCTCCACCCTTCTCTTGTGGTTCTGCTTTTTCTCTCTGGCCCTTATTCCTGCCAGGCCTCCTCTTTCCCTTTAAACTTGGTGGGATCCTGACCTGGGAGGAAAGAAAACAGGCTGAGAGGTGAGAACAGACCCTGGAGTTGGTGTCTGTGACCTGACTTCAGACCTTGACTTACATCCTCGGAGCCTCGCTCTTCCTGCCGGGAGATGGAACAGTCGTATCCACCCCGAGCTTCCCTGAGAGAAAGTGAGGTGAGGTGTGTC